GAATCTCAAATGTACAGAGCTGTCCTTCTGAATTCTAGATAAGGTGAAATTCAAGAAAACCCGATGTACGGGTGATGTCCTGTTGGGACAACTTTAGCACATGCACACTACATTCGCTGGCTTCAGAAACCACCTCCTCACCAGACTGGATACTTAGGCATGTTCTTACTCTGCCCTTGCATGGTACGGGGACGTGAGGCACTCGTCATCCCAGGACACTCTGCAACTAAATACTAGAACTAGAGCCTAAACTGGATTAAGTTTATATGCTCTGAATGTACAGATTAATAAAATTTCTTTTTTTTTTTCCCAAAAGCATACAAAGAAAATGCAGCACCATTATGTAAACCACAGATTCTTTAAAAATACTGACAAAACACATATAAAGCTTTTGGACTCTGCATGGGGAGGGGAAGGGCAAACAAAGTTTCAGTTATGAAACTAGTGACTGCTGAACAAGGGAAAATGTGTGATTTAACTTGTCTGAATGACAGTTCCTTTGTGGAGAAACTCCACACCATCTCTTAGATTAGTGTGACTCGCACTACTTCCCCCTCACAAATTATGTCCCACTTCATTTTCTTCAGGGACATTATCTAAATGTATTAGATTTGCAACAAAATTGGTGAAAACACTACAAAACTGGTAGATACATCACGTTATAATTTCTTCAGAGTAATAATAATAAATATTACTGAAATATATTCTATTGACCATTGGTATGGTGACCTGTTTTACTAATAGGGGATAATAACTGTGGGAAGATGATAACATAGAAAAGGAGAAGAAAGAACTAGAGCCAAAGAAAGCATGTGCTCCACGCAATGAAATTATCATCTATTGAACTGAGATAATCCAAAGCTTGCTGTTAAATTTCAACAGCACTGTCAGATTGACAGTTAAACTAAATCACGCACACAAGACCCATATAATTACTGTGTAGAAAAAGGCAGGAGAGTGGCCTTTGGCTCCAGCATGAACATTTTATTAGAGCCAGGCATGATGGTACTATCACGGATGATGCTAACAAGCACTTAGGAAAGCATTTTTTCTTGCTCTCGTTGCTTGTATCTGCTGTGAGAAGTATCTATTTTAATTTTCACATGATTCAGAACTGGGGGGAAAGGAAGAGAACTGGACTTTGTCCAAACACATTAAATAGTTCACTTCAAATTTAACTAAGGGTCACTAATGAAATAGACTGGATGACTTCTAAAGGATAATTGCAGAGCAGGCGAGACATCAGAAAAGAACAGTCTGAGTGCAAGTGCAGTTTGCAAGTCATGTCTAATACGCCTTTCTACTGTACACATAATCTGGCAAGTATTTTGCTGCACCCATAAAAATCTCAAGACTGAAGATAACCTTCAGAGAACTGTTTACAATAAAAAAGCCTGAAACGGTCTCAATTCTAAATTTGCTGTTGACTTCACTGCCATCGAGAACAAAGCGAGCTAATCTCCGGGGAAAGAGGGCTTTACAAGCTCTTCCTCCTCCTCCTCCTCACCACACAGCCGCTTCTCTATCACCGCTCGGGGAGGAGGGGACTCACCTGACCACTAGATGATGGAATCCTTGCATCACCATATTCCATGAAGGATGCTCTAAGGATGCGTGTGGCTCCAAAATTTACTGCTGCTGTTAAGGACTCAGCCACAAAGTAGTCAGACAGCAAGAGACCCAAGTATTCTCTAAGGCTGTTAAGTCCAAACGGTCTTAAAGAGAGCCCTTACAGGTTTTATTAGCAAATTATCACCTTTTGGTACTGACAAATCAGACCTCTGTCAGGCTTGATACTGGCCATTGTGGGTCAAAACAACAGATTGAGACCACCGGGAAAATATACTTCTCCTTATTATATTTTGGGAATTCCAATAATCACTGTGGAACCCAACTACGTTTCTGCAATATTTAGTGATAGGCAATTTCTGTGCCCATTGAGGGTTTTTACAATCTTCTACACAGGTGATAATAATGACCAGACACGTTACTGTAGTTTTCCTTGCAGTTCCAGGGTAAATGCATTCACTGCAGCTAATGGATAGTTACACGGTTCTTGCCACCGCTGATAAGCCATACAGAGCCTTAAAACAGTTTTAACACCAGTTGCCTGTGAACTGAATCCATGTTCCTGTTTATTTACTATTTACTATGCTCTGCAGCATGATTGCTTTAAAGCCCTTATCCAAGTAAACAAAGATTATGACCAAAAGTGAGTGAATGTTTTAATCCGGAATCAGAAAATCTCCTTCTAAAAATCTTTTTGCATGGGAAGTGCTTCCTCGTATGAATGATGATGACAATAATTTGAACCGCCAGTACTAATTTTTTAATAAGGGAGAGCTGCCAGCACACTCTTAGTCTATGAACCGTTATTAACTTATCTTTAAACAAGTAATGACAACAGAAGAGGAGGAAGTGATGGTGCTGAATTCTGACAGGATTCTTCCTTTACAAAGAACTCGAGTAAAGCTACTATCTTTTCAGAGAGCCTCTTTTGGTGTCAAAAGTAACATCCAAGTAAACGTCACTCCAGAACGAAGATAATTATTATATTAGAGACTTGTATGGCAACAGGCATGTATAATTTAGATTCTAACTACACATAAACAGTTACATACAGCTGAGGACATGTGTTCAGCGGACAAAACAATTTGCAAATATTATTCTGTTGACGCAGGGACACAAAGTTCAAGGTGGCCTCAGTTAGTAAACAAAGACGGAAAATGTACCTCACACGTTTACCCCATGCCTGAAAAACAAGCCATTTAGAAGACATCTGGATGTTCGAAAATTACCATGACGGTATTCAGAGCCCATCAAAACACGCAGCCATGGCTTGGCGTCTAGTAGCTAAGCAACGTCCTTCATACATTCAAAACATAGTTGTAAAAGTTGGATTCTCCTGCCAATTGCTGCCACTCTCACTGAAAAGCTAAACTGGAAAAAATCTCTCTTTACTTCAAAGTGGGGCCGTTTTCTCCGGGAAACATCTCTACTGCTTTTTCATCCTTTAACCCTTTTCGTGTTTACATTCCAAGAGGAGCAAACAGATCCATGTTGACATTTCAAGTGTAAGCATATAAAAATCGTGTGGGCTCACACATACTCCCTGCAAAGAACATCATGAACACATGTAGCAAGAAACTACAGTCTTGTTCTTGTTGAGTCAAATACTGAAACGTAATGCCAAACAACGTGCATGTGCACACAGCAAATCATTAAAGCAGATTAAGTTATACTGAACTGCGCTGAGGAGCTAATCCCATAGTTAAATGTGTTAAAATGTAAACCAAGAGAACGGAAGCCTGTGCTTTTTTCTTGCAAAGCATTTACATCCCTAAGTAAGAGTGCAAGCAATATTTGCATCTTAAAGAGAGGAAGGAGACCACAGGAACCGTGACATTTTGTTTGGTTTAGGTACTACTTACGTCCAAAAGAAGTAACTCTACACATGGAAGATGCAGTGGTCACGAGTCTTTGAAAGTGGATTACTGATTAGCAGCACATTTGTATTCTGGCAGGAGGGCATCCACGCAAAGAATTACATACAGCTAAGCATCTGTAAAGCAAGTGCACTTTAAATTCAGATCCGATCTCCATCCGAATTAACTCAATAATTGAGGTTAAGATTCACGGTCTGCCACCCTAAGAGTTTCTGAATTGCAATTAATCCCAGGAAAATAAATAGGAACACTAGCAGAGGAAAACAGTCTTTAGTGAAAAGTGATGGGTCCTGGCCTAATTAGTAAGCCATTAGAAAGGATGTTTACAGCAAAAAGCAAGAGTGTTCTGACCTAGCCTAGGTAGCCTGCTTTCATTCAGATTATAATGATAAAAAAATGAAAGCTTGCAAATCGGACTGATGGTCTTTAAACTGCTAAAAAAGGCTCCTGCTGTACAAGTGATGTCTGACTGACACAGAACCTAATGTTTCAACTATTTACAGCTAGAAAAGCAAGCCAGGCTCTTTTTTTCCCCCCTTCTGGAGCAACTCCTTCCACAAACCATCCAAAGCATCCTTTTTGGCAGGCTCCTATGATGTAGAAAAGCAGAACTCAAACGAATGGAAAGTCATGCAGTTATTTTTTTCGTACTTGGGGAAGGGAAAAAAAAGAAAACACCAAACCCAAACCGCTGAAGGGATATTCTTACAGAAGAACTTCATTGCATAAACGTGGCCACATGTCTACTAGAGCAATGTCCCTTAACGACCTCTGGCAATTAAGAACCGGGCCGGGAGCAAGGCGCAGCTCCGCATGGGTAAGACTGGCTGGATCCGACCCATAGTTGATCAGGAGACCCATTTTTCACTTGAGGAACGAGAAGGAGACTGCATCCCCTTACCACCAGCCCAACTCACTCAGCTTCTGCAGCTCTGTTTACCTGCGGTTTGCATTTACGTCCTACTCTTGAACCACAAGCGCTGCCGGCTTTCAATGTGGCGGAGCTGTTCTTGCTGGAAATAGCATCTCAAGGCACTCAACAAGGAAGTCGCATCTACTTTTAAGGTGTTCTCCACCACCTTCACTAGTAGGTTTGTTTGGGGACTAATTTAGGCTAGGGAAAGCTATCAGCTCTTTGCCGGGACCACCTCTCCAGGGAGAGAGGAGCTGTGTGTGAAACTCTTCCCTGGGAAAGATGGAACACTACGTCTCAAGCACAGGTGAGTTAGGTGGCATCAGCCGAATCCCTCATTGAGGCAAATTACCACCTCTCCACCCTGGCAGGAGTTCCAGCTCCCCAACGGCACGAATGGCTGTGTGCCTGCAGTGGGGATGACCTCGCGACCCCACTACCATCCCCGGCAGCTGTGCGTGTGGGTGCCGCACCATGGGACGCAGTGCAGCACAAGGGACAGGCCGAAGGCGTGAGCAGGGAGGTGACCACCGAGCAAAGCAGGGCAGCGTGGCTGAAGGGCTGCCTCGTCACAGCCCAACCACCCCACCATGCACCGTTCGAGGGGACACCAAGTCACCATCAGTTGGGGCGATGCCTACCTCACGGGTGAAGAGGATGGCGGCATCGTAGTGCTCATCGTGGTCGTCGTCAAGGCGGTTGTGCTGGTGCTGCCACTTGCAGAAGTTCTTGAGGGTGGTGGCGGCGTTCCTGTTGACCTCCAGCCCCTTCTCCTTCTCGCTCAGGGCCACCACCTTCACCACGGCCAGCCGGACGTGGTTCTCCAGGCTGGCATGGGCGTAGAGCCGGGAGGCGATGGAGGACAAGGTGAGCAGGTAGTGCTGCAGCCCCTTCCCGTACTTGCGGAC